CATGGCCATTGGAACAGAAGCTCCTAAGTTTGCCTGACATGGTGACAGACCATGCCAAAGCTTTGAACCTTACTCTGGTTACTATCATAGTGTAAGTCATGCATAGTGTGTGAATAGAGAGGCTTGCTTGTCCGTGTCCTCCTCTGTCTATGTGTCTTGCTTGTTGCCTTTTGCTTCTGCTGGGCATTTTTAAATGAAAATTAGCCCTTGCCACTGTGAATTCTTGGACTTGTGAGAGAAGGGTAGCAGCAGTGGGGTACATACAACAGGTTTTTGAATGAAGGATGTGTTTTGGATTTGTCCTGCTGCCTAGATCCATGACTGCTAGCTATCCAAGAGTGAAGATCATAGATCTCAGCCCTTTTGAGTCCATCTGGAATTACTGATTTGAAGTCTTCTGAATCTGAGCCTACTCCTCCAGTCTTGTTCCCTCCAACAGCTCTAACAGTTTAGTTTGAGCTGTCAGAACACTGGGGTTTTTTTTCGAGAGTGGAGAAAATGGGTGATCAGATTGTGTGCAACAGTGTTTTTTGCAGGCCTACACTTGTCCTGTGGTGTGAACTGTATAGTGGTGAGGGATGGCTTTGAAATGACTGAGAGGACCTCTGAAGCATGAAGTGTAAAAGGTGTTAAGAGCTTTAGAGTCCATTTGGGAGCCTTTGTAGCAGGAAGAATGGAAAGTTTGATGCTCTGAGACTGACAAGAAAACTGAGTATCAGAAGAAGTTGGATCATGTGGTTTTGGATTTACCCTGTAGGTGCTTCTAAGTTATGTTTGACCAAACTGTTCCTGTTTTCCCCCATGACCTCTCAAAAGTAATTTGCTCTGACCAGATGTGGAGATTGTCAAATTGACCAAAATGAACAAAGTTGTTGTCAAGTTTGACTATACATTCAAAAGTTGATTCAGTATGGTCCAAGGTGCCAAGGCACATTAAATATGGTTAACAGCACTTTGGAATGAAGCTACACCTCCTTGGGTCTCCACTGTCAAAGTAATGCAGGGGTTTGTCTTTTCCTCAACAGTACCAGCAAGGTAGTAAGTGTGTGGGGTGAGTACTGTACTCATGGTGAGTACAGTACTAAGCTCCTGAACTAACTTCACTGCCTTTATGCTGAATGCCAGAGCCTTGAGCCTTTTCTTCTGAATAGTGATCTGTGACCTATGTGTTCCCTCACAACTGCCTGGCTGACAGTTTTATTAGCTAGTAGTGAACCCAGGGCCCAGCTGTTTTCTTGGAGAGTTAGACTTAAAGCTCTGGAGACATTTCAAGTAAAACAAACCAACTAACCAAAAATGTTTCAGTATTGTCTTGAATTTTGTGCTTGTCTCTCATTACATATAAGTTAAGAAAGGAACTCTCCATTTGATAAAGACTTGAGTGATTTTTCTGTCTTAATACACTTGTGTGATTTTGTAATACAATATTGTGGGAATTAGATGATTTAGGTACTAAGCATAAAGTAAGTTTTAGACTGAGTGGCATAACTTAATTTGGATTTTGAACCATCTACTGTTAGAATAATAGCCTTCACTGAGAGCTTAGTATCTTACTAGCTTGGGCAGAATTTCTGTTTGCCTACAGATCATTCCTCCCTCCTCTAGTTTTGTGCAGTTTACTTAATGCCTGCACTTTTTTTATTATGAAATTTGCTCTTAATTCAGACTAATTTTCAAAATCTTATGAAATAAAACCAAAACATTTTTTCCCTCCACTATAACCACTAGGGTCTGAAAGGATGTACTTTGAATCCAGATAGTTTCTTTCCAGTAATCTGGTACAATTAGAATAAGATGTATTGAATTTATTAATTTTACTAGTGCTGCATACTGATATTTGTTAATCAGGGTTTAGTTCTGTACCATGACCTGTCAACTCCATTATTACATTGTACAATCAAATGTATGAAATTGGAAGTTCTCCTCCCACTTTTTTCCTAGTGTCTTGAGCTTGTTTTGTTTTTTAAAGTGCTTTGAAAGGCTGGTTTTGGGGAGGAGGGAAAAATATTTACCCTTGTGTATCATACTAGCTTGTAGCTGAACAGTTTTAAAAGTTTGATAATTGCTATTTATTTCAAATCAGTGAAAACTGTAGTGCAAATGAATATATTAAAACAAAGTATCACAGAACACGGAATATGGTGAGTTGGAAGGGACGCACAAAGATCATTGAGTCCAACTCCTGGCCCTGCACAGGACCATCCCCAAGAGTCACACCATGTGCCTGAGAGTATTGTCCAAACACCTGTAGAGCTCTGTCAGGCTTGGTGCTGTGACCACTCCCCTGGGGAGCCTGTTCCAGTGCCCAACCACCCTCTGGGTGAAGAACCTCTTGCTAATATCTAACTTTCAAATTTTTTTCTTTTCCTAAGCATGGGAAAACAGTCTGTCTTTGGACAGCATACTCCCTTTGCACTTGACAAGGAGTCGAACTAGGGAAATACTTCCAGTTGGAAGTTGTTTTATTGTTAATTATGTTAATCTATTTTACAAATAATGTCATCATCTGCTTGTAATACTTCTGTGTGCTTCTATGTTTCAGTAAGGTTGTGACCATATGGTCCTAAATTGAAGTAGTCTCAAAAGTCTGACATATTGGTAGTGAATAGTGGCATGTATTTGAAATTCTAAACTTTGCTTTCTTGATCTTAGTCTTGTTTTGATAAATTCATTCATTTTTCCCCTAAGGTTTCAGTTTGACTGCAACTCTCCAACATTAGTATTTATTGATCCAGTAGACATCATTTTAGTTTCAATTAACTTTGATACAATAAACTTTAATGAGAAGCACGTGTATACAGTGTTAAAGTTCAGTTTGGAAAAAGCTAAAGGGTGTATGGAGGCAGTACATTCTAATGTAGTCCTAATCAGTTAGTGATTGTCTTTAAGATGCTCCTTTTTCTGCATTTGTTCATACAATGATTTCCATATGTTACAGTTTTATAGTACTGATTTATAGAGAGGTCGACTGTGTACATTACGTACAAAGTTGAAGGCCAGATACAAAATTTGGACCCTGCCTTGTGTCATGAATGGGTGGTTAGGCTGCTTAAAGAATCACCATCAAAGGTACTGGCAAAACCCCCAGGTTTTAATATGAATTTGTGTGACTTTAACAGAGTTCAATGGCAAGGTTCACTCTGTTACTCACTACATAGATGAAGCATATATAGGAAATCTTACCCAGATTGTTTTGATACAAAGGGCTCACTTAAAATCCTCACACTTTACAGCTCTTCAAAGTTCACACTGAGAGCATACATGTAAAATCCCTGAAAATCTTATGTTATCTCTCACTATGGCTGAAGTTGAATTTGATGGTGAATTTAACTTGAAATGTGTTTCATAGGAGGAAAAACATTGAGGTACTGAAAATCAGGCTGTAGGATTTCCTTGGTGGGACATCTGGAACAGCTGCAAAACAAGTAGGGGATGGTCTGTGCACAAGACCAAGTCAGAATGCTACTCATTATCCCTTTGATGCAGGTGGAAGAGAAAATAAATAATAGTTTTCTGGAGGTACACTTGTGTTTTTGTTAATTCCGCTAATGGGCTACACTTCTAAGTCACAATTCCCACTTTTTCTGTAGATAGCCCTCGCTACTCCTGTCTCCGTTCTTGTGTCAATACGTTGCTTTTCCTTCTGTGTGACTGTTGCTCACAGCAACTTGTCCTCCTGTCCTCACTTCTGTCGGGGTCAGTACAGAACCTAAATGTGTTAGAACTTCAGCTTCATGTCACATCTCACATCTAATGTTGTTGTCTTATTAATAAGCATGCTTTCTTGAATTGGGTAGTGATACTATGGATGTCACCACAGAAAATTAAACAGAGAGTAGATGGCAAGATCAAGGTACAGGGAATGAAAGCTTTTGAAACAAAGAAGCTTTGTCTTTCAGGGTGGTTACTGTATGTGTAGGCTAACTGTACTGTTTTTGATGGACAGCTTGTAACACTTTTTTTCAGAACTCAAGGTGTTAATTGTTAATGTATATTTGAGGGAGTTGAGTTAGATTAAAATATTTGGTAATTTCAAATATTTCCAAATAAATTTCCCATTTCTCAGATGCCTTGTCTAAAGGCAGGTATTTTAAAATAGGGAGAAACTAAATAAGCAAATTTGCAGTGAGAAGTTGTTACAGAGGTTTTTAACAGATGAATAGGAAGACACAGGCAATAAAAGGCTTGGGGGTTTTTTGTAACTTCCCTTTCGGAACAGAACATTAAGAATGAAGAGATGCTGGAAGTTGGTGATAGGGCTAGAGAGGTGGTGAAAGATGCTGTATTTCTTAGCAATGGACTAGACTTTACTAGGACATCCGAAGTTTTAGTATTTTGAACAATTTGAGAGCATTTCACAAAGGAATACAGAATTGTTGCAATTCTCAAAATGGTTGGAATAACTAAAAATTCGCAGTTCAGAGGAAAGAGGAAGTGTAACTCTGCTGCATGTATGTGGTGCTTGTAGTCTGTGTGAAGGAGGACACGCCATATCACTGTTTTTTATTTTAGTATTTGTATTCTAATAAGGAAGGCACTCTAAGGTATAGAAGGAGTCTCAGTGTGTATCAGATTGAATCCAAGTGTTGTAGAGAATAAAGATGCAGTAATTAAGAATGTTGCTTACTTGCCTGTGGAGTAAGTAAGCACTGGTGGTCAAGCAGGTGAACTGATGGCTCTGGCTGGGTAATTTTTGTTATAAATGTTGTCATTAAATGAGAAGTAAGAGGGACTCTGGTTTTGGCACTGAAGCAGTAAAGTCATGCAGAAGCCGTTTCCAGTACCAGATAAAAACCAGGTACTAAATGAGCATTTTGTTACTAGGTTTATGGAAATGAGTTATCAACCCAACCAGCTAGAGGTTTTCAGATTTTAAAATTCTGCTTTGTATTGCTACCAAACCCAACCCTTAAGTTTGTGACTTGAATGCAAAATACTGAAATAAAATGACATGTTTTATTTAGGGTTGCAGATTTAATTCTTTTCTTCTCTTTATACAGCCTAGGACCTTTGGTGAGTAAAGTGAAGGAGTATCAAGTGGAGACCATTGTAGATACCCTCTGTACAAACATGCTCTCAGACAAAGAACAGTTACGTGACATTTCAAGCATTGGTCTTAAAACTGTGATTGGAGAACTCCCCCCAGCTTCCAGTGGTAAGGCATTTTGTACTCAAGGATTTATCTAGTTGTGTAATTTACTAATTCAAAAAGATACAAAAGCCTGGTCTTTTAATGAAGAGGATTCAGTTCATTTAGCCTTGGAACTAATTTCTGTTAGGGCAAAAATGTATGGCACAAATATCCTTTTAGTTTCTCCTTCTCTGTATTGCTAGATTTTACTTCACAAGTTTAAAAACTTTTTTTGTTTTACTTAAGGTTTGCATTAATGTGGAAAACAAACTTAGAGTATATGAACTTTGGTATAACAGGTTGAGTGTGAAAGCTTCTATTTTAATAATTGCCTGGTGGAACTTTTCTAAATCTCATCTTGCTTTCTGATTGATAGTACACTTTAAAATTGATTACAACTTGGGTATTTCTCTCTAACCATTTGATTTCTTGTCTCAATTTCTGGGAAGTGTTTTGGAAAGTACCTTTTGAATTACTGAAATGCTTACCTGCAGATTTAAATGAAGGCAGTCTTTCCTCCAAAAGAGATATTAATGTTGAACAGCTCATCACTTAATGGCATTACTTTTTATTCAAGTGCTTTTCAGATATCATAGCGTAGGAATGAGAATAGAGAAGTGATTAAAAAGGCTTTGGAAATGACATTTTTAGAGACTGAGGTCTCTTAAAAAAAAGAACTCTGATTTTAATATCCCTTTTGAAAGTTGACATGTAAATCTTGCTTTTATCAAGCGGTAGTGAGATGCATAAACTTTACATAAGCAACTAATTTTAAGTAAATTGCTTTTACAGTTTAAAAAGCTTTTACACTTTCGTTTGCCTACACAAAACAAAAGATTTATGGGTAGAGGTAAAGCTCAAACAAAAATGCAGGAAAATCTTTCAATATCTTTAACATTCCTAATATAAAAATAAACATGTTACTTCTTTCTCTCAACTCAAACATAGATTGTTGCCTTTTTTCTTAGCCTTTGTGGTAAGACATTTGACTGTCCAATTGTTATGTTTTAGTTATAGTCCTACTTAAGAAGTAGCCATAATGTATATAAACCAGAGTTAACATAGGTTGGTATGGTATTAATTTCACACTGACATTCCCAAAGTGTGACTAAAAAAATTTCATGCATGTGAAGATGAATGCTAACTGTGTTGTTACCATGACGTGAGTTCCTTCTCATAATTACTTGAAACAACATTAGACAGTTTGAGGAAGGGGGAACTGTAGAGTTGTTGTAAAGACATTTCTTCTTGTATTTTAAAATACTTTGGGTCTACGTTTTTTTTCCCCCTTTCTCAAATGTTTCAGCAGTATTTCAGATACTTACTACTTAAGAAGCTTCTTGTGCAAAATAATTTTATTTTGCTTTTTCATTATACAGCCATTCTTTAGAGATGGCTCTTCTGTGCTTCTCCCTACCATATAGTTTATTTCTCCATTTTTACCCATAGGCCTTTCATTTATTGCTCTAGACTTGTCTTGGCCTTCACTTTCCATTGCTTGCCCTACCAAAAGCAGTGTCCTTTCTGTTATATATACCTTCTGGTATGTTTGTACATAAATAGTATTTTAGCTCTAATGCAGGACATACATGACATTAGCAAACAAACTGACTGTTCAGGCTTGTTTTGTTGTGTGGGAAAAGCTTCTTTATGCTGAGATTAGGTTGCTTTCTGTAGTCACAAACATGATCTCCGGTGTTAAAAACTTGATTTTAAATATTATGAAAATGCTGTCCTTTCAGGTTCTGCTTTAGCAGCTAATGTTTGCAAAAAGATCACAGGGCGTCTCACTAGTGCTATAGCCAAGCAGGAAGATGTATCTGTTCAACTGGAGGCACTGGATATCATGGCTGATATGCTGAGCAGGTAAACATCCATCTTTTAATATGCCGGTGAATGCTGATAAATACTCCTTAAAGCTTGAACTGTAGTTTTCCAAATGTAAAATTAAATTAGTTGAAGTTATGTGAAATAATATGATAAGGTATTAAGTACAGGTGAAACTTAATTTAGAAAAAAAGTGAATATATTGAAGATAATTGATTTATAGAACAATTCCTTTGTTATGTAATCTTCTGAGAACTGTAATTTTAAGCTTATTTTAATGTTTATTTTTATATTTATTTATTTATGTTTTAAACTAATTTCTTCTTTTAAAAAGTTCCTAAAGCTTAAATTTAAATAATTAATTGGAATCTTTGTGATGTTTATATTTAAACATGTTTAAATATGGGAATTCCCATATTTAAATATGGGAATATTTAAAGATTGTTGTACAGTATATGAACAAAGTTATCTAGATTCAATTGGTTTGAGTTTGTGTTTTGTCTGTTTTAAGGCAAGGAGGACTGCTTGTTAGCTTCCATCCTTCAATTCTGACCTGTCTGCTCCCCCAGCTGACCAGCCCAAGACTTGCTGTGAGGAAAAGAACCATCATTGCTCTTGGTCACCTGGTTATGAGTTGTGGCAATATGGTTTTTGTTGACCTCATTGAACATCTGTTGACAGAGCTGTCTAAAAATGATTCCATGTCAACAACTAGGACCTATATACAGTGTATTGCTGCTATCAGTAGGCAAGCAGGTCACAGAATAGGTAAGAAAAAATTATAAATTATCTTTTACTTTAAAGTTTTTAGGTAAGAGTAATTACTTAGCTAATTTTTTTTCTCTTACCAGGTGAATATCTTGAGAAAATAATTCCTTTGGTTGTAAAGTTTTGTAATGTAGATGATGATGAACTACGAGAGTATTGCATTCAAGCCTTTGAATCTTTTGTTAGGAGGTAAGTCATGGATACCTATTTCAGGCTTTCAGATCTGATAGTGTGCCACTGGATTGTAAGCTATCAAGAGACAATCTCCTTCATAGAAAATATTTTTGCAAGCTTTGAGCTGGAACTGTTTCTATAACTCTACCTTGTAACTTAACTGTTAAACAGGGTATTATGTCTGTACTTTAGAAACTTCCTACTGTACCATTGCTACTTGTGCAAACAGGAGGTGGGAAGTCTATTTGTGTCCAGTAATAGTGACAAAAACATTGGTATCCAGAGGTGTATCTTAGTCCTTTTCAAACTTCCAATCTAGCAGATCCTGTTACACAGTAGCACTGCCCTTTCTGACCTTCCTTTCGGAATTTCTGTAGTTCAGATGGGTGCATTGATATTAGTTGTGTTGGCTAATGTCTCCAAAGTACAGTATGTGGCATGAAGTTTTTTAGGAATATTTTAGTTCTTCAAAGTAATTTGACGTTGATTGTACTTTTTATTGTGCAGGTGTCCTAAAGAAGTTTATCCCCATGTATCTACTATTATAAACATTTGTCTTAAATATCTTACTTATGATCCTAATTACAATTATGATGATGAGGATGAAGATGAAAATGCTATGGATGCCGATGGTGGTGATGATGATGATCAAGGTATATTCTCTTGTCAGTTTGGGGGAGAGGGTGAGCTTTTGATGCTGTACCTGTCTGAGAAAATTGGTATAGGTGGTACTATTAGTAAGTACCAGCATTTGAGTGACTTGTATACTTTCATATTCATATTTTGTACCTCTTTTAAACATACCTTATGAACTTACCTCTTGGAATAAAAGTGTAGGATATTGTCGCTGGAGGTCAGTGATTCCAAGAGTGAACACAAAATATAAGACAAATACTTTAAAAGACTTGAAAGGTGGAAAAAGGCAGAAGCGTGTAGCATGATATAACTAAAGTGAGAAGAACATCAGTTTGTGAGTTGAAAATACATGTACAGCATGGGGAAGGCTTCTCACTACTTTCCACTGTATTGTTACCTAATACATAAAATCAGAATAGATTGAAAATTACCTAGTATTTTTCTGTAGGATAAAGAAGTGTTTTAGACTGAAAGGCATAATGTATTTATTGTTAATACAGTGGCAAAGCATTGCCATATGTAAGCTTTGTGAAAACTTGGACACACAAGTAATCTGAACTGAGGGCATAACATTCCCATTACTTAAGAAAAGAATGAGCTGCATAGTTGTTGCTTTTGCACCTGAGAAGTCTGTATTATTTATTTTTTTGTTGTTATTTTTGGGGCAGTGTATGGTTTATTTACTCCTAGAAAGAAGCAGACAGAATAATTGGCTGAATCTTGATCAGCTAATGTTCATTGTTGCATTGTTGTTTATGTCACAAATAAAGAGGAATGTGCTTTAAATCAGTAGTCAGGCTGTAAATATGATGGGAACCTTGTTGTCCTATTTGCAGTTTAATGCGTGTGTAAGACTAGTGTGAAAAAATTGGCATAGAATTACAACTTAGGCCATTTAGAAGGCTTTTTATGTATGACTTTTAACATACTTCTGAACCTATTTCTTCATGTGTCTTACGCAAAGAACCCAACTGTCTTGGTTTTTAATTGTTTAAAAATAAAACTTGGTGCTTTGCTGGTCTAGACTTGAACTTACGCATAATTTATTTTTTTAAGGGAGCGATGATGAATATAGTGATGATGATGACATGAGCTGGAAAGTGAGGCGTGCAGCTGCTAAATGTCTGGATGCTGTGGTTAGCACACGACATGAAATGCTCCCAGAATTCTACAAAACTGTATCTCCTGCTTTAATAGCCAGATTCAAAGAACGTGAAGAGAATGTTAAAGCAGATGTTTTTCATGCATATCTTTCTCTTTTAAAACAAACTCGACCTGTGCAAAGTTGGCTTTGTGATCCTGATGCGATGGAACAAGGAGAGACACCTTTGACAATGCTTCAGAGTCAGGTTATTTGTCAAGATTTTTGTTATCTTTGAGAAGACATACTGAAGTTGCACCCTGTTCATAAGGATAGTTCATTAAATGTACCTTATCATGCTTTCATCACGTGCAGGTTACAGTTTATTCCTGTAGTATTAACATAGAGAGCAAGCCAGGTAAACTGGCCCAAAACAGTGCAGCAGTCTTGGAAACTGAAATTACTGACTCATGCAAATGTCCTGATTTGATTTCAGTTGTTTACCATCACCTGTGAAAGTTGCATTACCAAAGCAAAATAGTTACTTTGTGCATTCTGTATGCAGACAATAAGCTCTAATGATTAAGATAAAACTTGATTTGCTACAATATATTTTATTTGCAGAATAAAAAGGATAATGCTGAAAAACTTTTTCTAAGTTAATTATTTGGGTGGCTTTTCAGTTGTTACTCTCTACAGCTTTATTAATGCAAATCACCTTTTAAAGTTAAATTACTGGGTTTTTTAAAGCAATTATTTTGACTTTATTCCCCAGTGTTTCTGTAACTTATCTAGTTCTGTGGAGAAATCAGAGGGGTTGGATGCACGTATTTCTTTATATGCCCCCCAGTAATCAATAACGGAAGAAATGTGAGCTATTGAGTCAATTAACAGATGTGTGATGATTACAGGTCCCCAACATAGTTAAAGCCTTGCACAAACAGATGAAGGAGAAAAGTGTGAAGACTCGTCAGTGTTGCTTTAACATGCTGACTGAACTAGTAAATGTGTTACCTGGAGCCCTAACACAACATGTTCCTGTGCTTGTACCAGGTATGAGAAACATGCTATTAACTTAAATATTTATTAAATTGGATGTGAAGTTTTGAAACATCAAAATATTCTAGTCCTGATGGCTTTTTGCAAAAACCTTGAAATGGGGCTTCTATTTAAAGAAAATAGCAAAATAACCAGCTACTATATGAATCCATATAAATATTTTAGTGACATATTTCCATTAATCTTAAAAACAAGGGTTGTCTCCAAGATTGAGGTTTTTTCCCTACTGTATCAAAACAAAGTTAATTTTCTTCTTAATTGTAAGATCAAGCCGCCTTCTTTTTCATCTCAACAGAGCAAAATATTGTCCATATTTTAGCTTTTGAAACTTAAAATATTGAAGTAATGATGAAAAGTAAGATTGGAAATGTTAAAGGTTCAGAATTTCTTTATAATTAAGAAAATACATCACAAACCATCAAATTGCCCATATCCTCTGGGAGAGGAAGCTTAAAAACTAGTTGATTGAATTAAAGCACTGAAAGGGGCTTGGAAGCATTCAAGGAGGGTTGGGAGCTAGAAAACATAAATTCAGTATAGCTGCCTGCCTTTGGAAATTTTGAAGTGTTTTAGCAGACTATAAATTACCTACCCTAAAAATACATTTTTTGTTTTTCTTCCAGGAATAATTTTTTCACTGAATGACAAATCAAGTTCATCTAATCTGAAGATAGATGCTTTGTCCTGTTTGTATGTGATCCTCTGCAATCATTCTCCCCAAGTCTTTCATCCTCATGTTCAAGCATTGGTACCTCCGGTTGTAGCTTGCGTTGGAGACCCATTTTACAAGATAACATCAGAGGCACTTTTGGTTACCCAACAACTTGTGAAGGTTATTCGTCCATTAGATCAGCCTACTTCCTTTGATGCTACTCCTTACATCAAAGATTTGTTTACTTGTACAATCAAGAGATTAAAGGCTGCTGACATTGATCAGGAGGTCAAAGAAAGGGCAATATCTTGCATGGGTCAAATAATTTGTAGCCTTGGTGACAGCCTAGGCACAGACCTGCCTAGTACACTTCAGATCTTTCTAGAGAGACTGAAGAATGAGATCACTCGGTTAACTACGGTGAAGGCCATGACATTAATTGCTGGTTCTCCTTTGAAGATAGATTTGAGACCAATTCTTGGGGAAGGAGTTCCTATTCTTGCTTCTTTTTTGAGAAAGAACCAACGAGCTTTGAAACTGGGCACTCTTTCTGCTCTAGATATTTTAATTAAGAATTACAGTGACAGCTTGACAGCTGCCATGATTGATGCTGTCCTGGATGAGCTTCCACCTCTGATTAGTGAAAGTGATATGCACGTATCACAGATGGCCATCAGTTTTCTAACAACACTGGCTAAAGTATATCCTTCCTCCCTGTCAAAGATTAGTGGCTCCATTCTCAATGAACTTATTGGGCTGGTAAGATCACCTCTACTTCAGGGTGGAGCACTTAGTGCCATGCTAGAATTTTTCCAAGCTTTGGTTGTGACTGGTACAAATAGTTTAGGCTATATGGATTTACTGCGCATGTTAACGGGTCCAGTGTACTCACAGAGTACGGCACTTACTCATAAGCAGTCTTACTATTCCATTGCCAAATGTGTTGCTGCCCTTACTCGAGCCTGCCCTAAGGAAGGACCAGCTGTTGTAGGTCAGTTCATTCAAGATGTTAAGAACTCAAGGTCCACAGATTCCATTCGTCTTTTGGCTTTGCTTTCTCTTGGGGAAGTTGGGCATCACATTGACTTAAGTGGACAGATTGAGCTGAAGTCTGTAATATTGGAAGCATTCTCTTCTCCTAGTGAAGAGGTAAAATCGGCGGCATCTTATGCCTTAGGCAGCATTAGTGTTGGCAATCTTCCTGAGTATCTGCCATTTGTCCTACAAGAAATAACTAGTCAACCTAAGAGGCAATACCTTCTTCTTCATTCCCTGAAAGAAATAATTAGCTCTGCATCAGTGATTGGTCTCAAACCATATGTTGAGAACATCTGGGCCTTACTCCTGAAACACTGTGAATGTGCAGAAGAGGGCACAAGGAATGTTGTTGCTGAATGCTTGGGCAAGCTTACATTAATAGACCCAGAGACTCTGCTTCCGCGACTCAAGGGATACTTGGCATCAGGTGAGTAGTAGTAGTGCATGTATGTATTGTGGCTTTAAGGCAAATGGCTTTGTGCTATCTATTAATAAATGGATCTAGTTTGCAAATGATGTGCTTAAATTTTGTGATAACTCTTGAAGTTTTGCTCCTCCCCACCCAACAATGGAATCTTAGGTGGTTCCATTTTTACTAGAAGTTGCTAGTCATACATAAAAAGAATTACTTCTGTGTTCTGCTTTCAGCTATGGTAATTCAAAGGAGCATGAATGACAAAGGGACAAATTAAAAAACCAGTTGCAACATGTTGACATTTTGGTGTAAATTATTTGGTGTATTCCTATTTTTCAGATAAGGATTCTGAAATTTTTAAGGATTAGGGTGGATCATTGTGCATAATTCATGAATCAGTTTCGTATCAAGAACTGTATTCACATGTTTGCTTTACGTGCTTCTACTTTTAAGGAGAGAGGTGTTTTTTTCTAGGCTGACGTTTGATCATACATAAACTGTAATAAGCCTGTATAAACAGGCTTATTAATCAAATTTTCTGTAGCAGATAACGTTACATGCTTATTGTGTCTTACAGTATTTTTCCCATGTTTGAAATGTTTTCTCCATAGATTTACTTGAGTTACATATTGCATTTCTAGTAATCAGTAACCTTTCTTGTTTGGTGTTCTTAAGAGTATTAGAAGTCTAAAAAGAATGAATGACACTGAGCATGATTTAGATTCTGTAGTTATTCTGTTTTAATCTTGTGTATTCACACTTTTGTTTTGTATTAGGGTCCTCATACGCTCGAAGTTCAGTGGTTACTGCTGTTAAGTTCACTATTTCTGATCATCCACAACCCATAGACCCGCTCTTGAAGAACTGCATAGGTAAGTTCTTTACTTTTACTGACAGCTTTTTTGTTTCCAGGCAGTAGAATGACATTTAAAATTTGTTCTTTGTGTTATCAGAAGTAAGTATTTTGCAGATACTAGGATTAGCTGCTAATAATAACTGTTGGAAGAGTTCCAAGATGTTTCTGCAATAGCCAGTTATTTCTATTAATACTAGTTTGTTTGAATTCTGAGCAGTAAAAAATGTTTGATTAAAAATTCTATGTATTGAAGCTGTGATGAGTGATACAAAAAGCTAGTACTTTTAGGAGAGGGAACCCAAAAACTGATTTCCTTTCTCATGTTTTTGACAAATTAAATCAGTTTGATGTAGTAAGGTGTACTGTCTTTACCCAGAAGTGTGGTCTTGGAAGTATTTAACATTCAGTCACTTAAAATATGCATGTGTGAATGCAGAGTATTACCAGGTTTGGAATTGTAAATATAGGTTGTTATGATTTTGTAATGCTTGTGATCTGAAAGCATTTGGAATTGTGTATATTTTTACAGGGATAAGGTAATCAGAGCTTTCAGTGTAACATCGGTATGATAAAGAGCCTTGCAATGCTGTGGCTTTTTGAACTTTTTTCATTTGTATTACAAAGATTTGTTTAATATGCTATGGTGAATGTTTTATACTTGAGTAATTACAGGTTTAAAGATAGGTAAAAAATTATCTATACTACTAAGCCTAACGGGGAAAAAGATTTATCTTCAAAAGCATAAAGTTTAGTGGGGAGCAAGGTTTCTATTTATGGGTGAATGAAGTCAATTCCTATGTGTTATATTCATCACTAAGCTTACTTTTTTTTTTTTTTAATAATACATTCAAGAATTGCTTTAGGTATTTTCCCCTCCCACTGAAGCTGCCTTGCCCCTTTGGTTTCTGCAAATATTTATTGATTATTCAGTAAAAAAACTATTGTTATCTAGTACTTAAAAAATCTTAGTCATCTTGAGTTTTGTTACCCCAGTGTCTTTTGTGTGTGTAGGAGTCACTGTTGGTTTTCTCATTTGAAAAATTTCACTCCTCACGGAGTTAGCTAGTAAAACTTCACAAACATTGTGGGAAAAATAAGTTATATTCATGCAGCTATTTATTTTAACAAAACTGTATTATGGTAGTATAGAAAATCTAATTTAAAAATGCCTGAGGGTAGAGTTGGATGAGAAGGTGTTGCTATGTTAATATATACTGAGTAGCCTTATTTTATGGTAATTTAGGTATTCTCAGTATATGCCAATTTAGGGGTTAAAAATCAGTATGTCGATAGTTTCCTTGAGAGGTGTTCTCAATTTCGTGAACTGCAGAATTGATATTGGTTTTCTAATGCATATTCTGAGAGAATTTAATGAATAAAAGCAAAGGTTAAATATAATTTTCATTAATTTACATACTGTATCTTTAGAAAACAAGTTGAAATATCATTGTGATGGCCATTTATTTTGATGACCATAATGAAACTGCTGTTTTATTATACAAACTACTGTATATAATTAAATTAACTTTTCATATGAGTGTGGTTTTATTTGTATAATCATGCTGAAATAGCAGGTGTCTGTTACATTAAAATAACTGCTGCACTAACTATGTCTTTTTGAAAGGTTAAAACTAAGCAAAGATATTTTTAAAGTTGCAGATTAAAAGGATCGTCATAGGTTATTTATTTCTGTATGATTGCAGGTGATTTCCTGAAAACATTGGAGGACCCAGATCTCAATGTCAGGAGAGTAGCTCTAGTGACGTTTAACTCAGCTGCCCACAATAAACCATCTTTGATAAGGGACCTCTTAGATACTGTGCTTCCTCATCTTTACAATGAAACAAAAGTCAGAAAGGAACTAATCAGAGAGGTATGTTAACTAAGAAAAACAGTGCTAAATATATGTAAGTAGATAGATTTTTTTTTTAAAAAATGTGTTATTTAACTTTGGTGTTTCTGTTTGCTGACAGGTGGAAATGGGACCATTTAAGCATACAGTTGATGATGGCTTGGACATAAGGAAAGCGGCTTTCGAGTGCATGTATACTCTATTGGATAGCTGTTTGGATAGACTAGATATATTTGAATTCTTAAACCATGTTGAAGATGGCCTGAAGGATCACTATGATATTAAGGTTAGCTGTCATTTTTCTCTGTGAAAGCAGTGACTATGTCAAAATATTTTAAATAGTGAATAAACTGACATGGTAAAAATATTATTTCATATACTTAAGTACTTCACTACGTTTGCCAGTTTCATTGAAGTGTGACTGACTGTTTGAAAGGTTACACAGCATTGTAGGAAATATATCTCCATATATATGCTAGGCATGACTAATAGTTGTATTGGGTTTTTTTCCTCAACCTAGATGCTAACCTTTTTAATGTTGGTGAGATTGTCTACCCTTTGTCCAAGTGCGGTGCTGCAGAGATTGGATAGGCTCGTGGAACCTTTGCGTGCTACGTGTACAACTAAGGTACTTGAATTCATTTAAGTTAATTACTTTGTGTTGTCTTATAGACATACAAACGAACTTGTGTTTAAGGAATACTTCAGTACTGCTGCAGCATTTTCTTAGTTATGATTGCTAAGCTGGAGTAGGCAGGATAATATAAATAAGTGTGCCTTTATACATGTGTTAAATTTATTTAAATTACAAATCAAGGGATAGCCTTGTTAGCTTCTTTTTAAAAATTCTCTGTTTCTTTGCTGTCCTTTCTTTTGTTCCTTAAAAATTTAGCTGCCACTTGGGCAACATGTAAATCTCATGTTATTATAAATAGTGAAACTGGAAGACAGAGTTTTTCTGGCATCTGATGGTTACGTTGTTTCAGACAAGCATTTGGGTGATGAAGGCAGTGTAAAGTAGTCCTGGTTTCGTTGGGTTTTTATTGTTTATCCTGCCTCCTCATTTATATTACAAGATTATTGGATCTTGGCACAGTTAGTCTCCTTCCATTCCTACTCATCTTGATCCACCTGTGTGCTGTGACAGTCATTTAATGCCATTTACCTTGCTTTTCCATTGTTATAGTCTTCTATATTTCACATCAAGAAAATTGACTGCCTTTAAAGATAATTTATGTTTGTATCACTGAAACATCTTTGAAAATGGTAACAGAAGGTTAAGCACTTACTCTAAGGTCAACTTTTTAATAAGTTCTATTCGCTGGAAGCCGGGAGTAGTGTGATAATAGCAGTTTAATGTCATTTACTGACCTTACTAGGTAAATGACTGTAATTGCTGCTGTAGTTGCTTTGATTTGGTGATTGACTTGGTAGTTTACAACCTTTTTCTACTTACCTTGCAGTATTGAAGCTTCAATCTATTTGTAAACAGTTCTGCTAGAAAGATGTTTAGGGGTATTTTTTGTTTGGTTGGTTTTTTTTAAGAGCTTAGGTCATTTTGAAAGCTGTGCAAAGTGGTAGTATGGAAGGAAATAGGTTTTTGTAACATACATTTTTTTTAAGGTGGATATAGGTGGAAGTTTAGTGAAGTTTCAAACATATTTTCATTTTTTCCCTAGGTAAAGGCAAACTCGGTGAAACAGGAGTTTGAAAAGCAAGATGAACTAAAACGATCTGCTATGAGGGCTGTAGCAGCGCTTCTAACCATTCCAGAAGCAGAGAAGAGTCCATTAATGAGTGAATTTCAGTCACAGATAAGCTCTAACCCTGAGTTGGCAGCCATCTTCGAAAGTATCCAAAAAGATTCATCATCCACTAACTTGGAATCAATGGACACTAGTTAGATGTTTGTCCAAAATGGGGACCATTATGTTGAACCATATGATGCACTGAATTGACAGGTTATGAGTAAGAAACAGAAAAAGCATATAATTACACATTGTTCCACTTTATTTACCTTTATGGAGACAGTTGGCTTTTCCCATAATTGCTTTTCTAGCATTATTCCAGAAATGTATTTCCATAATCCAGAATTTGTTAACCACTCTGTTTTAGTGGATTTGACCACATTTGGGAATTAAAAAGTTGACGCATGGTGTATGGAAATAGGTTCCAGCATCCATTTGCCCTGTAATGTTTAGGATTAAAATGTCAAAATTTTGTGACCATGATTTTTTTTCTTTTGTTCACTCTTTCTACTTGTAAACAAAAAAGGGGGGGAGGTGGGAATCAAGTGTCCAGGTGCACCATGTTTTTTGTATAACTTTTTATTCTTTTTTGTTTCAGCTTCATAAATTGGTTTGGCTGACAGATGAATTATGTGTAAGATTTATTATATTAAAAAGATGGTTTGGGCACAGTTCAAAAAAATCAGGCACTAATGTCATTTTTACAGATGTGGGGATTAGAAAACCAATATCCCTGTTGTGCACACTAATTTTGCATGAGCAAGTTTACAAATATATATTGTCTGTAAAACAGCATGTGCAGTTTATTCGTAATGCAAGTTAAAATAAGTTCTACTGTATCAGTGCAGTTTTCAGGTATTTTGACGTACAGGCCATTCATACCGGAAGGGATGAATTAAGGTTTGTTATCTTAACCTGGCTTTTTTAAATGCCAGTAGCATGACCCTGCAGATATTCTTACAGTAAACATGATGATTTCTGCAGTTTTCATGGGTTTTCATTCCCAAAGACTGGATCCACTGGAATTGAGGTGGACAAACTGTAAGATTGGAGGGAAATAGGATGAGGTGGAGGTAAAATGAGCAGAGAAAACAATAGCTGCTCAGTGGCTCCTGAACTCTGGATTCAACTTTGCTTTTGTTATAAAAGTATGAAGGAAGTTTCTTTAGTGGATTCTATCTCCTGTTCTTTATCCAACAGCTTTTGTTAAGGCACTAGTATATGGTGCTACCTAGACAAGTATTGCCAGACCATCATTTAGTTCCTGTTGGAATGTTTTCTGGCACATGGGACCACCAGTGGGTTGCAATGCTGCAAGTGTCATACAGTATTTTGGTGAGACAGGAAGCAGGGAATGGTCAAAAGACTGGAGAGAGATAAAAAGCCAACAGAAGAAAAAGTTCTGTGAATATGCTGAGGTAATTTAGAAGGGGTCCAGAAGTGGATAGCTGGCAGTCCTGCAATGAACTAGGATTGGGAATTCAATAGCAAAAAAAGAGGGGAGCCACTGCCTCAAACTGAGACTTACCATTACTTGTTAAATGCAACTACTTAGTTGTTTTGGTTTCTTTCCCTCTAAATCAGATCTGAATTTGATTTTTTCTTAACTGGTATTTTTTAGCTAGTTTGATATTTTGGAAACCTGTTATGTGGGTATATGGCATAAGCTGCTACATGACTAAATAAGCATACATTCTTATGACCTCAGAGACAGTTTCCCGTGAGCGTTGGGGCTTGGGGGCAAAATCTTCACCTTACATGCTTGCAGCTTGGGAAAAGCAGAGGAGATATTGGTACATTTTACCTTAATAGAAGGACCTGAACAAAGAAGTCTGTGAACTCATTGAATAGTAACAATTCTAATGCTGTAGAAATTTTTGAAAATGTAGCTTTCTCTGTCTCCAAAGTCTTCATACTAATGTAACAATTGTCTTCTAGAAGTAGTAATAAATGAGATTAAACATACCAACATATCTAAATGTCATGAAAAGGAGTGGGATGACTAGACAGAAACCATATGGTAGAAAAAGCACTGTGAATTAGGTGCATTTTTTCTTACTGTATAATTCATCTACTTCAGTTACAGCAATACACAGGCCTTCTAATTAAAAATTCATTGTACTAATTAGTTGTCAACTAATCTTAGAACTTTTTATGTTAAGTTTTCAGAGTACATTAAAATGTTTTATAGACCTAAATCTAGATGTGAGAATGGTATGATAAACGTGAAATGTGAGGCTAAAATAGGAAAATGGAGTAGGTGACAATGGTAAGTGAACAGAATATTCATAGCTGAGAGATTTGTGTGTGTGTTACTACCATAACATAACACAACACTTAATGTGGTGGATGCAAATCATCTTCACTTTGTTTTACAGTATGTTGCAGTGAAGCAAGCTTAAGGACAGAAGAGAAGGTTGAGCTATATTACATAGTGAATGCTTTCTTGCAAAAGAGGAATTTTCACTTTGACCACTGATGAAGAATGTGGGAACATAAGGATTAAGTCTTCCCTGTAAATTGCAGAAATTCCAACAGTGTGATTATCTCCAAGTAGCAGTTGGTTTATTTTGGTGATTCAGGAAGACAGACTCATAAAAGTTGTAATTGCATCATAATTACTGAATTTTTTTATTAGTGTAACAAAATGGAACCATGTTAGGTGTTGAATTCTGATGACTTTCGGTGGATCACTTGATTGAAAGGTTTCTTTGGTTTTCCTCACTGTATGTCCAAGTATTTGTATAAATCTGGTGTATTTATGCTTTTAGAGCAATTAGGTTCAGGTAATTCTATTAAGGATGATGTCAAGAATATATGCAGCTGTTCTTTAAATGCTAAATATTTGAAACTGAAATACTACATTTCTCTAACTAAAACAAAACCAGAATTCTGAAAGGCTGCTCTTATGATGTTTGGTATGATTAGAACTTTTTCTAGTATTTTTCATCACTTTGCACATGGACAATTGAGACCAGTTAATAAGGTTGCACATAACATAGAAATGGTTGACCAGTCCTTGCATTGCAGATTCTAGGCTTTAAATATTTTTGTATCTCAAAACTTGCCATCCTTACAGGGGAGGTTTTTTTTCTAAAATTATAAATTGAAAACTACCAGTACTTCAAGAATGCTGCATTTCAAACATGTAAATTTATTTTTTATATGATTTTCCTTCAAAATATTGCATCTAATATAGCAGTCGACAAAATAAAAAGAGCTGAACTGCTTCCAGTTGTATTTTTATGAGGTGAACAAAGCAGTACATATGCACCTAAGCAGCATTGCTTCTCTCAGGTGAAGAATTATTTTGACATTCCATCAACTCAAATTAAAAATATGAATTAAAAGTCCATATCTGCTCCTATTGTATTTACCTTAACAGATATTCTCAATAATGAGGATAGGAACAAGTTCACCCTGATCTGGTGGACTGCTCAGTAGTAGGGATTTAGCAACTGCTCTCATATTTACTGGTACTTCCCCTTCCTCGCCTCTACTTTAGGTGACTTTAAAAGCAAAGTACATGTGACCTTGGAAGAGTGTGTGTGTGTGTGTGTGTGTGTTGTTTTTGTTTTGTGAATCCTCATCATTCTGACTGAAATGACACCTGTTTCTGCCAAATACCAAACAGTTAAGCCTGCGGCCTCTGGGTTTTATTTCCCTATTGCTCTAAACTTCAGATAAAGTGTACTTTTGTTGTGGTTACTGTTCTTAAAATTAATTTTGGAGAAATGAAAAATACTAATCAGTTTATTACTTTTTTTTTTCCCCTTGTTTCCTTCTTGTTGTGAGGTGGGAAGATTTGCTTGGTGTACTATTGAACATGAGGAGGCGGAGATTCTGGCAGCAAGCTTTGCTCCCTGCCCTGGAAGAGCTCTTCAGTATAGAGTTATAGCTCTTGCACTAAAACTGACCTTTTTGCATCTGTATCCATTTATAATTTTTCATTGTGTCTGAGTTCAGGGAAGGAGAAGGAAATCGGAATTCTTGAGAATAATGAAGTAAATTAATCTTCCACAGCCAGTGTTGGTGAAGCAGGGAAGCTTTCTGCAAATGGGGCTTTTGTGAGAATTAGGCAATTTTGTCTTGGTAGGGAGTTAGACTTCTTTAGATTTGTTTCCACCTCATGAGGCTTTAATATTTCCACATAACCTTTGATGAGGAGAAAACTTCCTTCAGAAAGGTCATCAATCCCTCAAAACAAACAAAGAGTTTCAGCTGATGTTCATCTGAGTGTTGTGGTTTAGGACATAACCCTGAACCACAGAAGAAATAAGAGCTTTCTGAGAACAACACAAACACCATCTGGAAGAGAGATGTTACCTAAAATATAGTGCTGAGAAAGAGAAAATGGAATCTTACAGTGAGAATATTTTAATTTAAAATAATTCTCTTTATATTCTGTCTTTGATCATATTTTTGAAGAATGGCAAATACAGAAGGAAAAGAGAAAAGTAATTGGCAGTTGGTGACCTGTGATCCCTGAACTTAAGAGGTAATTTCTATTCCCTGCTGCCTCTTAAAAAAAAAAAGACGTATTTTGATAAAAGTACATAGTAATTCTGAAAATACTTTTATTCCGAAGGAGTTAAAATTGTTTTTTATTATATTGTCACTATTTTTTTCTTTTATTATGAAAAAATTATTTCTCTTCTTATGTGGATTTCTCTGACCTGACAGTTATGAGTCAGTTTAATACACCTGCTAAAGCCTTTAGGAAATAAGCTGTGTCACTTGGTTCAGTGCAGTAAAGATGTTCCTGTAGCAGATGATGTTTGGAAGTCACTGTTTCCCACCATTCTTTTAATAGATTAAAAATACCTGGTCCTATATGACTTTTTACATGTAGTTTCTATTCAACCTCCAGCCTTTTTTCTGTTTGACTGGACAAGTATTGGACTCCTGATCATCTGATTACTGTTACTTTAGGTGCCCCCCTTTCTGGAGATTCTTGATGTTGTAATCTCAAGTCTTCTAGAAGACTTTTTTCTTCAGTCCTTACTAAGGTTATTTGCTGGAAGGTTCAGTTTTGTCTCCCAACATTTCCATTGTGCAAGACAGTTCTTTCATTAATTCTGTGTAGTATTCATTTTACAGAGGGATTTCATGCAGAGATGCCATGCTTACATGCAACTGAATGCTATTTTTGAGGAATTTTGTAGTTCAAGCACTCCTCTCTGCAGTGAAAATACCCAACATATCTAAGGAGAAAATAGAACAATGTGTCACATGCACAGAATTCCATGGAATGTGGCTTCATGTAAATTTTTCTCTTGCCCCTCGATTTCTTAATGCTCACAACTGCATCAAATGACCTAAAGGTCTAGACCAGCTTGCCAGTAAGGTGTTTCAAGTAGTAACAGTTGAGTTCTGCCTACTGATGGAATCTATGGGAAGAGCTACTTTGATTCTTTTCCCTCCAACAGCTACTGATCTTCATGCAGATGGCAACTTTGAAATGTCAGCCACATGTGACAGAAGGGTAAAAATTGACCAATGTTTTAAAAAAAGAAATTGGATTTCCTGTCATCAATTCCTTTTCAAACAACTTTACCATATTTTTTTTCCAATACAAAGATGATCAAATGAGTATTAGGAGGACACTATATCAAAGTGACTGAGTTCTTATTTTTCCTAACACCGTAGGTTGAAAACCCATGACTCTGGTTTGAATAGTGA